ACCCGCCTAACCAATGCAGGTAGACCTAACAGACAGGTGCTTCAACCCCTGGGTCGGGAAGATCTCCTGGAGGACAAAATGACAACCCACTCCAGTATTCTTGCCTGGAGAGTCCCATGGACAGAGGAGTACGGCAGGCTACACTCCATGACGTAGCAAAGAGTTAGACACGACCGAAGTGACTTAGCGTCAAGTTCAGTTCAGTCGTTCAGTCGTGTCTGACTCTTTGCGACCCCGTGGACCACAGCACGCCAGGCCTCCCTGTCCGTCACCAACTCCTGGAGTCCACCCAAGTCCTCGTCCATTGAGTCGGGGATGCCATCCAACCATCTCATCCTCTGTCGTCCCCTTCTCCTCCTGCCTTCAATCCTTCCCAGCATCAGGGTCTTTTCAAATGAGTCAGCTCTTTGCATCATGTGGCCAAAGGATTGGAGTTTCAGCTTTAACATCAGTCCTTCCAATGAACACCCAGGACTGATCTCCTTTAGGATGGACTGGTGGGATCTCCTTGCAGTCCAAGGGACTCTTAAGAGTCTTCTCCAACACCACCGTTCAAAAGCATCAGTTCTTCAGCGCTCAGCCTTTATGGTCCAACTCTCACATCCATACATGACCACTGGAAAAACCATAGCCTTGACTAGACGGGCCTTTAGCATATATGTAACTCCCCGACCCAATACAGCCTGCCTCTGGGACCACTGAGTCCTTCCTCCTTCTCGTGATGCTTTAAAGAGGTAGATGTCTAACTCTCCAAGTCTTCTCCACACAGAAATCCAACCAGTTCTTTCCGTTATCCTCCTGAATGTTCGCCATTCTGGCCATTTATATATCTGTCCTTTTTCTACAGAGAGACTGGCAAAATATAACCTAAGGGCCAAATCAGGCCCTCAGCCTGTTTTTGTAAATAAAGTTTTATTGGAACACAGCCATGCTCACTTGGTTACTATTGTCTATGGCTGCTTTGTGCAGAGTTGCATGACTGCCACGGAGACCATGAGACCTACAGAGTTGAAAATGTTTGCTCTCTGGTCCTTTATAGAGAAAGTTTTCTGACCCCAATCCTGAAAGTGTGCGCCTTAAGTTTCTCTCTGGACGAGATGCTGGAAATGACTACAAGGGGTGAGAGGGGAGGCAAGGAGGCTGAACCCTTCAAGACGCGAAGTATTAAAATCTCCAACGACAGCACTGTGACAATTTGGCTATGTATTTCTGCAACTGAATTATTACTTTACACAAGCATATTTTAACATGAGACCTTGTATAGCTAGTTCTCTGCAGACGTTCCTAGCACTCGTCTCTGGCTGAGTAAGCACAGAGCTCTGTGTGTCGGAGTGACAATGCCTCGCACCTTACCTGGAGTCTCTCGCTCTGCCTCTAAGGGAGCGCAGTGGTCGGGAACAGAGCAGGGCGGTATGTGTCCTGGGGTGCAGTTAAAAAACCACAGATTCTTAACTCTGAAAAATAACAACATTGAAAACCGCAGCAGGCTCGAGGACCGTGAAGAGGCAAGTCGGGGGCTGGCCGCAGGGGTGGGGTAACCGCGCCAGCCCCAGGGAGCGCGGGCTGGCCCACCCCGAGGCCATCGGCCTCCCTAGGAATCTTGGACTCTCCCCCAGCTTTCCAGAGCAGACTTTTCCCAGTCACTATGGTCATGAAGCATGAAAAGAAGGCCCTGAATTGTTTTCCAGGAAGAAAAGGAGAAAAAGAAAATAAAATGCTGCCATTTCAAAACTGCATGCCTTGTCCTCAGGCCACCTAAAAGAAAGCTAACAGGCAGGGGACTTAACTTCAGAGGCTGAGACAATGAAGGCCCTCACCTCACCGTAAGGTGCCTTCCAGAACCCGGGACCTGGCAACTGAACTGTGTGACCGCTCTGGGTCCCCTTGCCGCGGGTCTGGGTTGAGCATTATGTAGTTGAAGCCCCAAGGCCGCCCCTTTAGGGGCTGGTAGCAGTCTCCACGAGCAGGTAAAGAGGACCTCCAGAGGCGGCAGCCCCCAGGGCTCCCGAGGGGACTGTGCAGGAGGAGACGGAGAGAGGGGCCAGCAGCCCCCCAAGCGTGGCTCTGCTGGGTCACTGCAGCCTCACGGGATGCCGGCCGGCAGGGCAGTGAGTGGGCACCGCAGGAATCCGGGCGCCTTCAGGAAGCTTCATTATAAAGTCCGCGGTGAAGAGCTGATAAGGAGAGGGACGGGCACGGTGGAGGGGAGGAGGCTGGGAGCACAGGTGGGGCTCAGCCTTGATGCTGCCCACCTGGCCGGGCCCCTCCACAGCAGGCCTGTCTGGGGGTCCCCGGGGGCACCCTGCCCTCCTACTCACCTCCCCTGACGGCTCCCAGGCGCTGAGCCTGCTCTCCAGCACTGCCCAGACCTTCTCTGCGCTGCAGCCCCAGCAGGGCACCCGGAGGTGGGCCCTGGATCGATCTCCTCTGCTCCGCTCAGGATCGCTCGGGGTGCAGAAAGGCAGCTGGCCTGCCTCGGCCTCCCCAGCCTCAGCCCTGGGTGAGGTCATTTCCTTTTTGCAACTGCTCCGTGAAAAGACCTCTCTCCAGGTTGGTGACCGGTGAGGTGCTGCTCAGAGCAAGACTCCCAAGAGAAGAGGTGAGCAGCTTGGGAAGCAGCGTGCCGTCTGCAGGGGGTCAGAGGAGCTGAGACCCAGGCTGAGGTCTCAGGGTCCTGGGGGAAGAGGTGAGCAGCTCGGGTAGCAGCGTGCCATCCGCAGGGGCTCAGAGGAGCTGAGACCCAGGCTGAGGTCTCAGGGTCCCAGCTGTGGCCGAGGCAGGCTGCTGCACCCTCGAAGTTCTGTTTGCTCTGACATGTCCTTAATCTACAGAACTAACTGGTCTACAGAATTGTAGCTCTTCCTAATAAGCACAAATGGATGATGCATTTATTGTCTAAGGTTAAAGTGTGCAGTATAAATATACCAGATCAGGCGGCTGAGACCAGTTACATGGACGACGAGGGAGCCCCAGCCTGCCTTGCAGGAAAGTCAACCAGCTTCAGTGGCATAGAACCTCACATCATCCATGAATCACGTCTGATTATTCACGCACTCACTCAGCCTTTCCATTCTTCCCTCCATCTTCTCAGCCCTTCATTCATCCAAACATCCATTCACTCCTTCCGTCCAATGATTCTGAGTCATTCTTCTTTCCTTTCTTCCAACTCTGCTTCTTTTCATCCAAACTTCAGTCTTTCCAGCTGCCCATCGTCCAACCTTTATCCTCACCTCCTTTCAGTCCATGCCCATCCTTCCTTCCATCCTTGCTCCTCAATGCACCCATCCATCCATCTTTGCTCTCCGCTTCCTTCCATCCGTACCCCATCCAATCATTCTTTCTGTCATCCTTCCCTTTCTCTTCCCATCTTTGCTGTCAACACAGTCATTATTTACATATTTATGAATGCCTACTTGAGAAACCTGTATGCAGGTCAGGAAGCAACAGTTAGAACTGAACATGGAACAACAGACTGGTTCCAAATAGGAAAAGGAGTACGTCAAGGCTGTATATGGTCACCCTGCTTATTTAACTTATATGCAGAGTACATCATGAGAAACACTGGGCTGGAAGAAGCACAAGCTGGAATCAAGATTGCTGGGAGAAATATCAATCACCTCAGATATGCAGATGAGAGCACCCTTATGGCAGAAAGTGAAGAGGAAATAAAAAGCCTCTTGATGAAAGTAAAGGAGGAGAGTGAAAAAGTTGGCTTAAAACTCAACATTCAGAAAACTAAGATCATGGCATCTGGTCCCATCACTTCATGGCAAATAGACAGGGAAACGGTGGAAACAGTGGCTGACTTTTTTTTGGGCTCCAAAATCACTGCAGATGGTGACTGCAGCCATAAAATTAAAAGACACTTACTCCTTGGAAGGAAAGTTATGACCAACCTAGACAGCATATTAAAAAGCAGAGACAGTACTTTGCCAAGAAAGGTCCATCTAGTCAAGGCTATGGTTTTTCCAGTAGTCGTGTATGGATGTGAGAGTTGGACTATAAAAAAGCTGAGCACTGAAGAATTGATGCTTTTGAACTGTGGTGTTGGAGAAGACTCTTGAGAGTCCCTTGGACTGCAAAGAGATTCAACCAGTCCATCCTAAATGAGATCAGTCCTGGGTGTTCATTGGATGGACTGATGTTGAAGCTGAAACTGCAACACTTTGTCTACCTGATGTGAAGAGCTGACTCATTTGAAAAGACCCTGATGCTGGGAAAGATTGAAGGCAGGAGGAGAAGGGGACGACAGAGGATGAGATGGTTGGATGGCATCACCGACAAAATGGATACGAGTTTGAGTAAACTCCGGGAGTTGATGATAGACAGGGAAGCCTGGCGTGCTGCGGTTCATGGGGTCATGAGCGTCTGAACTGAAGTGATTCACAGTAAGTTATGCAAGTTTGAGGAGGAATTGTACAACTCTGGGCGGTCAGGACAGGTTGCCCTGTACACGCTTGAGGAATGTGAGGGGTGGGTGTCTCTCCTGCAGACAAGGGAGCCCTAACACGTCCCAGGCCAAAAGAACAGAATGTGCACAGGCGCAGAGGAGCGCGGCGGTTCCTGAAACAAGCCGAGTGACCTACAGGCAGAGCAGAGGGCCACAGCAGGCAGGAGGCCGCAGAGGGGAGCAGAAGCCCAGCTTCTTGGAGCTCCCTGGTGGTCCAGAGGCTCGGGCTCTGCCCCCCAGTGAAGGGGGCCCAGGTTCGGTCCCTGGTCGGGAAGCTAGCTCTGCATGCCACAGCTGAGACCTGGCACAGAAAACTAGGTGAAACGTTTACAGAGAAGAAGCCCAGCTTCCAAGGGCCGTGCAGGGCCTGTGGAGGGGTCTGGACTCTGTCCTGAGGACATGCAGGAAGGATGGATTGTGTGCGCAATGGGGGTTGGGGTGTGGACTGGGGGGCGCCGCTGGGGGGTCGCTGTGGGGTCAGCGGGGGACAGGAAGTGGTCCAGCCAAGTGGTGGCATCCGTATGGAGACAGCAGGTGGAGTTGGGCATGATTAAGGGCGGGGAGGGAGCAGGTGACGACGGGAGAGGACGGAGGGGGTCCTGGGGGCGCTCTCGCTGGTGGGCACGGACAAGGATGCTGGGCAGACGCAGAGGGGTGGGCAGGCAGTGAACCGGCTCAGGGACACGGAGCCTGAGGCCTGGAAGCGGCCTGACTGCACGGTGGGCCCCGGGACGCACAGAAAACAGCACATCAGGGCCCCCGCCTCCGGGGCCGCGTCCCGGGATCTGAGGGCCCCCGGCTCCGGGGCCGAGTTCTGGGGTCTGAGAGCCGAGGGAGCCTGCCCAGGCGGACAGCCTGCTGGGCGTCAGGGGGAGCAGAGCCCAGGCTCGGGTGCCAGCAGAAGGGCGGGACGGAGCTGAGACAGGGGGCTCATGGGGCCGGGGAGCGGGGTTCCCGCGGCCCGTGACTTAGCACACAGCTCTTCTGTGGGAGCTTGGGACTCAGGGCCGAGGCAGGCGAGGTTTGTGGGCCTAACGGGGCAGCCAGGTGTCCGCAGCAGACTTTCCTCTGCCCCTCAGGGGGTTCCAGGTTTCCTCTCCCTCTTCCTGCTGGAAACGCACCCCCGCCCCGCAACGCTGCGTATCTCCTCTGCTTCCCGCTCCAGCCTCAAGTTTCCACCGCACGTTCATTTAGGTCAGTAACTGGCTCTCTCCTGAGCCGGACCAGGGCTGAGTTTGCCCTGACCAGCTGTAGTGTCGCTATGGTTTTTTCCAGTAGTCATGTATGGATGTGAGAGTTGGACTGTAAAGAAGGCTGAGCACCAAAGAATTAATGCTTTTGAACTGTGGTGTTAGAGAAGACTCTTGAGAGTCCCTTGGACTGCAAGGAGATCCAACCGGTCCATCCTGAAGGAGATCAGTCCTGCGTGTTCATTGGAAGCACAGATGCTGAAGCTGAAACTCCAATACTTTGGCCACCTGATGTGAAGAGCTGACTCCTTGGAAAAGACCCTGATGCTGGGAAAGATTGAGGGCAGGAGGAGAAGGGGACGACAGAGGATGAGATGGTTGCATGGCATCATCGACCCAATGGACATGAACTTGTGCAGACTCTGGGGGATAGTGAAGGACAGGGAGGCCTGGCGTGCTGCAGCCCATGGGGTCGCAAAGAGTCGGACACGACTGAGCAGCAAGAGGTAGGGCCTGAGAAGTGTCATCCACCCTCCTTCCCGCATCTGTGAAATGGGCGCCTGAGCACGTGGGCTGGAGCAGGCTGTGTGACCCGGGGCAGACCAGGGCTGGCTGGGCGGAGCACAGGCTGAGGTCGGTTCAGAGTCAAGCTCCACCCACGATGATGGGTGTGCGTGTTTCCTGCGCGCTCACCATATCTAGACTCTCCAGGTGTTATCCCCCTTCATTCTCAGAGTCTGCAGAGTAAGGCCTGTTAGTACCTCCTTGTCTTCAGAAGACCTTGAAGCACAGAGGGCTGGAGTAGGCTGTTTGGGGTCCCACGGTAAGAATGGGGCCTGGGTGGAATATCTGGCTGTGGCCTGCGGGCATTCTCCTGCGCTATGTGGTGTTCTCTCCGGAGGCTCTGTGCCGGGCACGCCCACCAAGGGGCAGGACCACTCACCAGGGGGAGGGTGTGTGGCCGAGCTGGGCGTGCTCAGGGTGGAGAAGAGCCGGCCTGAGGACGGGGACCCCCTCCCGCTCTTCATCCCATTGACTCCCGCCCACCACCCTTTCTGGGCGCCTCTGGAGCAAGGTGACTCTCCTGTCTCAGCTGATCGTCTCATCACATCCAGCACCTTCTCTGCCCCAGGCGCAGGGAAGAGAAGGGACGCGTCCTCTCGCTGAGTCCTGACAGCCCCTCTGTCCGTCCTGGGCTTGCCTGGGCAGGGGTCCAGGGCAGGGCAGAGCCCCCTGGAGCCACTGAAGAGAAGCGGGGCGCTGTGGGGAGCTCCAGGTATCCTGGGGAAACCCGGCCTCATGAGGGTCAAGCCAGGCCCGGGGACGGCATCAGGACCCCACGGACAGCCTCCACTCTCAGAATCTCTTACGCTGAGCTCACCCCGTGTCTCCCATCCGCGTCTCCCTTGGCAGTCCCGAGACACGGGGACAGAAATCTGCTCAGGGCGGCAAGAACTGTCTCGCTCAGGGCTGTCCCGACACACGGGGCGGCCTCAGCAGGCAGCGAACCCACCCCGGGGACCTGCAAGCCGCGGTGGGAGCTGCGTGAGGAGACGGGCCGGCTCCGAGAGGACCTGGGCCCAGGCAGCCCCTGTGGCCACGCAGGCTGTGGAGTCCGGCTCACGTTTCAAACGCCTCCTCCACGTCTCCACTGCAATGCCAGATGATCGTTTTAAAAAACACGGCCGGGGGTCTCCCTGGTGGCCCGGCAGTTCAGGATCTGTCTTCTCATGGAGGGGATGCGCGTTCAGTCGTTGGCTGGGGGACTAAGACCCCACCTTGCCTTACGACAAGGAAGCCCGCATGCAGCAAAGACCTGAGCAGCCAAACTCTAACAGACATCAGTCAGTCATTTTAAACAGCACACACAGCTGAACGTGAGACCTGGTTCTGTCTCCCAACCGCGCCTCCCGCAGGGTCTTCCTCATCTCGGCGGAGGGGCGCTCCATCCTCCCAGTGGCTCAGCTCAAAGAGTCATTCTTGGGTCTTCTCTCGTCATCCTGTATTTGATCCTTCAGCAAATCCTGCTGGTCCTACCTTCAGAATCTGTTCAGAACCTGACCTGTTTTCTTGTTGCCCTGGCTACCGGCCTGGCGGAGCCTCCCCTGGTGAGGTCCCGCGTTGCCCCCTCACTTCCCTCTGCCTGGCCCTTGCCCTCCCCCCAGGCGCCAGGCACAGCCCCCTTCTCACCCTGTCTGCGCTGGCTGCTTCCTGGGTTTGCAGCTCGTCCCTCACCCTCTTCCCGTCTTTGCTCAGAGGTCACTTTCTTGGTGAGGGTCCCTCTTTCCTGTTGCAGCTGACCCTCACCCACCCAACCTATCCTGAATGTTCCCAGTCTCTCTCTCTTCTTTAATCTGCAATTCTTTATTGCCAAAAAATTAAGAAAACATAAAAAGTATAATGGTCAACCACATTATTCCCACCTAGACCAACAGTTCTTTTTTGAATGTTTGTTGGAGCAGAGTTGGTTTGCAATGTTGTGTTCGTTTCAGGTGCACAACAAGGTGATTCAGCGATACGTATACACGTATCCACCCTGTTCAGATTCTTTTCCCATCTAGCTCATTATGGAGTAGTGAGTAGATTCCCTGTGCTATACAGTGGGTCTTTGTTGGTTATCTACTTTTTAAGTTTTTTACTGGAGCATTGACAGGGTGGTGCTAGTGGTAAAGAATCGCCTGCCAATGCAGGAGATGTGAGGGACACAGTGTCAGTCCCTGGGTCGGGAAGCTCCCCTGGAGGAGGAAATGGCAGCCCACCATTCTTGCCTGGAGAATCCCACGGACAGAGGAGCCTGGCGGCCTGCAGGCGGGGGTCACACAGAGTCGGACAGGACTGCAGTGACCTAGCACACACACTGGAGCATAGTTGCTTTTCGACATTGTGCTAATTTCTGCCGTACAAGTGAATCGTCGTACACGTACATGCGTCCTCTCTTTTCTGGCTTTCCTTCCTGTTTAGGTCACCAGTCCCTCTTAACCTGCCAGGTCTCTTCCTTTATTTCCCAGCACGTACTGCTTTGAATGAACTGTGTAATTTTGTCATTCGATTATTCACTCTCTGTATCCATCCACTAGCATATAGGCTCAGGGGGTCAGGGAGGGCATCGGCTTTACTTTTTCTGCTCACTGGCACCTCCTTAATCTCTAGAACAGGGACTGAGCCAGCATAGATGCTCAGTTAATATGATGCCAGAGAGATGGGGCTGCAGGTAAGTCAGGAGCCGGGGGCCCGGGGTGCCCCTAGCAGCTGGTCAGGGAGCATGGGCCCCCCAACACCTGTCTTGGGGTCCCGGCAGACGTGGCCAGCTGCTCTCTCCACCTTTGTCCCTCCCCCCACACCCCCACTCTCATGCGGGGTGGGTTATACTCTGGAGGGGGGCTGGTTCTTAAGCGTGTCCACGGAGGGTTCAGGCATGCTAAGAATCACAGATACAGAGGATAAACTGGTGGTTACTGGTGGAGAGGGAAGAGGAGGAAGGGATAAGATAGGGGAAGAGGATTGAGAGTTGCAAACTACAGTGCATGAAAGAAATAAGCTACAAGGATATATTTAATAGCACAGGGAATACAACCAGTGCTTTATGGTAAGTTTAAATGGACTATAATCTGCAAAAATACTGAATCACTTGTATTGTTTACCTGAAACTAATATAAGATGGTAAATCAGCTAAACTTCAATTAAAAATAATAAATAAACAAATAATGGAGAGATGATCTTAGAATGCCAGAAAGAAAAAAAAGAACTGCCTAAATTATACCAAAAAATTCGGTTCACTTGGGTGTGCTTTTTTTTTTTTTTTACTGAGGAGGGAGGGTCCTTTTCCCCATAACATTTATGACTTTCTGATATACTACCTAATCTACTTCTTTACTGTGCTGTGTTTCTAAATTTATGCTTCATTATTAGGGAGGTTCTCAGAGAGATTTCTGATTCTGTAACAGTTTGAGACTCACTTGTCTCAATCACCCTGCCATTTTCCTTGTGGCCAGCAGGGTCCCCGGACTCTCAGGCCTGGGAATTGCCCACCAGGCTTGGGTCTGGTGACCGCGGCCCTCATGCAGTAGGAGAGGTGACAGCTGGACTTTGGTCAGCCCCCAGATTCCCCTTCCTCTGCTTCTCACCTGGTGGTCCCAGGCCCCACAGGCCTGCCTGTCTCAGGCCTTGGCCCGAGTTGTGCGCCTGCAAATCAGCAAGTTCAAAACGGCGCGAAGTCCCCGTGGTGCTCTCCATGGTCCTGAACCACCGGACTGGTCTCTGCTCAGAATGAGGTCGTTTCTCTGGGAAGGGGGATCGTGTGGCCCCCGGAGAACCCCGCCCCCTCCAGGCTACACTTATCTTCCCTGCGCTCTAACGCTACTTGCCTTGCTTATGTTAAGCCTTCTCATCTTTGAGATCTTGGCTGAGTTGTCACCTCCTCTGGGAAGGCTTCCTGGGTCCTGCAGAACCGAAGGTGCGTCCTCTGTATCCTGTACCTCCCACGTTCCACTGTGTGAGGACCACCTTTGACCTCATCAGTTAGGAATAAGCTTCTCAGCTGTCTCCCACACCGCTGTGTCACCGATGTGCACGTGATGACAATAAATTTTGGTTGAACAAAGGAGCAAATTGATTAATGAAACGAATGAGTGGTGGGTGGTCTGGGGAAGGAATGTCCTTGTGGTTGGTTCCCATCCTCTGATTTCTCCAGGACTGTTTTATGCCAGGCTCTCTGTAGTAGGAATGTGGAAGAGAAGCAGGAGGTTAATATGGTCCTTCTCCTGTGGAACACGTGACCTGGTGAAGGAATGACAGGGGCCACATTTTATAGATGGAAAGACTGAGGCTCAGAGAAGTGATGTCATTCTTCTGTAATCGCTCAGCTCAGGACTGAGAGGTGGGACCTGAGCCTCTATCCTGTGGTCTGGACCTTGTGCCATCCCCTGCCTGTGCCATCACTTCCTCCCCTAGGTTGCAGTTCACAGCCCTGGGCAATGAGGACATTGGGCAAAATCTACCTCTGAGGGAATTTTGCAACTCCGAGTTTTCACTGAAAATTAGAACTCATGGGTTTCATCTCTAGTTTGGGGGTAATAGCTTCCAGGGCCACTAAGATGGCTCAAGGAAAGCCCTTTGCTTCCAGTAAGTGGTTTTGTCATCCACGTCATATCAGAAACAGGATGGGAGACCCCTTCTTTCCAAGGGCTGGATTCTCAGCAGACCACAAGAGTCTTTTACTTTCCGCAAATGCCTGGACCCTCAAGGCTCCCAGGAGGTGGGGTGGGCCTGACATGGTGCATCCTAGCCTCAGTCTGAACAGTAGCCACAGCTCCCAAGACAGTTCACATCCTTCTCACTGGTGGATTTGTGGGACTTGGGAGAGATCCCATAGTCATCAACCTGGGGACCTTCACCTGCACGAGCCCTGAGCTAGTGTCAACTTTCATTTCTTGAAACGTACCCACCATTCAACCACATAAGTGCCACGCCTCTGCCTCTGGGGCAGGCAAACCTGGGATATCCAGGGCTGGGGAGATTTCTTTTAATGGGCTATGTGAACAAGTCGCTCAGTAAAGGCGTTTTGCTCGAGGGACAAGATTTTTATATTCTTCACCGTGCTGGGTCTTCATTGCTGTGCCCAGCTTCAGCTGCGGTGAGCGGGGCTACTCTCCAGCCGGGGTGCACCGGTTCCACACGTTTCGTTTGTGGCTCCTCTTGTGGAGCCCGCCGAGGGCTCGCAGGCTGCAGCAGACACGGGGCTCCGTGGCTGCAGGGGCGGGGCTTCGCTGCCCCGAGACACGAGGAATCTCCCCGGGCCAGGGGCCCAACCCACGTCCGCTGCACTGGCGGGCGGATTCTTCACCACTGGCCCACCAGAGAAGTCCAGAGGCCAAGTTCTGAAAACATGGATCCACAGAAGAAAATCACACAGGAGGAACAAAGTAGATGAGACGTGAGAGAAGCCGGGACCTCGTGACCCCTGAAGGAGACAGTGACTCCGTCTGGGAACCAAGGCTGATCTGGGGGAGGGAAGGGCTGGAGGCCGGGCTGAGGCGGGGCATGGGCCCTGCCAGGGAAGGCCGGGGTGGGAGCGGGGGCGCTTGCTGAAGGCCCATGTTGCAACCTTCTCCCTTTGGCTGAAAGTTGGGGCTGTTGGGAGGAGAACAAAAATTGCCCCCGGGAAACCCCACTGAGAGCTGTGCTGGGGCGGGGATCAGTCGCGCCCTCCCCAGTGTCCCCGTGATTTCCGGGGTCCCCCCACCCCGGTCCCAGCAGCCACACAGTTCCCCAGAGCGGCCCGTCCTGCCCGTGACGTCCCCAGCACCCCGCCAGCAGGACTCACAGCTGAACCCAAGGGAGAGGGTCCAGGGGCGTCAGGAGGCCTGCGACGCGCACACCGCCGCTCTGGCTCAGCGTCCCACCCGCAAGGGGACAGACTAGATGCTCCCTGAGGGCCGTGGGTGCCGGGCTCCCAGCCTGGATTCCCGGGGGGCGGTGTCCCCGTGGGGACAGGAGCCCTGCGGCAGCCGGAGCCGGCCGCCCACGCAGAGGTAGGCAGCAGGCTGGGCGCTGCCGTCTCCTTGCCAAGCGCAGATAACTTTCCACTGGGTCCAGGGTTCCGTCACCATGGCAACTGCTGGGGGTGGAAGCAGAACTCATCCGAATTCTGAAGAACATATGGGGGAGGGAAGAACAAGAGACGGAGCCCCAAGCAGGCCCGGGGGGCGGCACCCAGTGGCTCCCCCTTCCTCTGCCCCCTTCTTTCCTGTTTTCTTCTTCTGAGGTTTCTCTCCTTGGCTTTTCTCCTTTCTCTAGGTCCTCCATGCCCTTCCCTGAACCCTGGCTCTTAGGAGCAGTAGGTGATGTATACTGAGCATCTACTGTGGACCCAGCACCGTTCCAAGTGCTTTATATACCTGAACACATTTAACGCTCTCACGGCTGTGTGATAGGTACTGTCATCTTCCCC